TATATATATATAAATATAGAAAGAGGAAAATATATATTTCTTGTAGCTCGAAATGTGAAACAGTAACCGAAGGATGATGGGTAGCAGGAGGAACGCGTAATAATTCAAGAAAGAATAACGGTCCATCTTCGTTTAATCCAAGATTTCAGATTTACTCTCTTGCGCTGGATAGATCATAGCTAGTAAGTGAGATAAGGCGTTAAACAAAAGCGAGTAGGTCGGAACGGCGAGGGAGTGATGCTGCGAATGCTTTCTGGTGCCTATCTCGTTTATACAGCTTTCTATGCACATCGTCGGCTAATAAAAAAAAGGAGGGACGGAAATAACAGATCGCGCTTCGGCAAGCAGAATCTCGTGTAATTACCCAGGAGCCTCGTTGTACGTGCACTCGTATCACGTTCATCGATGTTCCGTGGAGAACGTACTCACAGCTCGCTAACGAAAGACAAGCGCGATACGTAAGAATAAATCTTCAATCGCTGTGGCACTGATTTATTCGGTATATATGTTATATATTCGGTGTATATGCAATTTAAAAAAAAATAATACGTTCTATTAATATTTAAGTTTTTCTTTGTATTTTTATCTCAACGTTTATCTCAATGATATCGATCTTGATGTCAAACACGGATGAGCGCCAATATCGAGTATACATTGTTACTGATAATAACTGAACATTCGTCAGTATTCCTAGACATCTTTGGTCATTTGCTATCAATTCCGCGGGTGTTAATTGCACCCGCGTGATGTGTATACCGCCCTTCATCCTCATACACAATAATTTACGCATAATTGGTACAATTTGGACAACTCGCAGCATATTAAATTATACCGTAAACACACGCGGACCTGTCTGCGTGTGCATAGTCCGTAACTCGATAATTATGTATTCGTACATATTAAATAGGCCGCGCAAGCCGATTCAACGATTTCGACGAAGTACTAAGAGGTGTCTAGACGAGAATATGCATACGCGCCAACAACTAGGGCTTGAAGATCGTTTACATTCTAATGTAAATATTGTATATGCACAATATATGCACGTAGACCGAAAATCCGTGCCTTGGAATCCCATAGGTGAGATTAGCTGCGCACCGTGCGGAGAGTCGAACAAATTTGTGATGGTGGGACGATACGGAAGTGCCGTTTTCACAATTAATTTTATTGATTCGGTTCAAATGAATGGTTCAAATGATATTTGATCCCTCGAATGGATTTCAACAAAGGAGAAAATGGCAACGATGAAGGGCTTAGGAGCTTTCCCGCGGGGATGACTAATCCGCACAGTTGAGCTTAGCAAACCCACGGATCCAAGCTCAATACACTGCGGACACTCATACATTTACGCATTACATGTACAAGTATTCTATACAGGGTGACTAAAAATTACACTGTTAAATTTATAGTGTCAAATTTAACCTAATTTAAGTCATCACTGCTTCTATAAAATATATCGTTACTTTATATTAAAATAAAATGATTAAATTTGACACTATACAGAGTCGAATTTAATTGTTTTAATAAAAAATAACGATATATTTAATAAGAGCAACGGCGACTTAAGGTTAAAGATACTGTAGATTTAATGTATAGCTGTAAAGTTTTGTGTTAATAATTTAATTATTACATATTAAAAAAGAATAAATACGTTTGAAGTGTCAGTTATACTTTATTAAATACTAAAAATAGTAATTAATATTCAAAATAGTGAAGTTTGTAGCTTTTTTATCACCCTATATATCTATACTCATACATACATCGCTTAATACATACATTGGCTAAAGCTCTTTTTCATGTATCTTTTGCTTTCGTTTCCAAAGAAATAGATCTAGAAACTAGATCTTATAAAGTGTTGAATAGAATTTTCCTTGATTTTCTCATGTTTAGGAATTAATTTTTTTACATTGAAAGGAAATAACTTGTCTTCGACACGCCTTCTAAATCAGTGAAATAATAAGTATCCATTTCACAGTAAAAGAATATTTTATGATATATTTTAAATTTATGAGTGCCTTATAAAAAAAACACTAAACAGTCATAAAAGAAATAGTAAAAATATTTTGGCGTCGATAACGAAAACTACAGAAAAATTTTCTTTCTTCCGAGAAGAAAATAACAATGGCTATCTCGCGATAAACGATGTACTTCCAACGCTACTCTGAAAACAACCGATTTCAGCCATAATGCGTTTAATCATCAAGGAGTACTTCCGCGAATCACTTTCTGTATACGCCACTTACTATCCATTTTTACTCACTTCTTCCGACATTTTAGGTTGATAGCACCTTGGTGAGAAATGCGGAAATATCGCGAAAACGTCGAGAAAAGTGACGAGAATAAGAAACCTTGATTCGCTCTCTCTCTCTCTCTCTCTCTCTCTCTCTCTCTCTCTCTTATTCAGAAATCTTCCATGAGTCCCGAACAATCCAACAGAGTCGGTATGCTACGACGGACTCTCGACTGCAACCGCTTTTGTGCCCCAGGGAATAGTAGAAGAGAACACCATCAAGGAAGAGAGGGACCAGTAAGATGTCGTGAGAGACGAATCCGTACAACGATGTCGGCGTAATTGTGTAACTTCGTGGCTGCGACGTACGAAACAATAACTGCTGGCAAATCGCATCAAACAATACCATGGCAGATTGCATCTTCCAACGTGCGACGCGCGTCTCTCCTTTTTTCACGCTGATCTCCTTTGTCCTTGGTCCTCGGGTTGACTTTGCCGTATCCTTTTAACAAATAACTGCATGCTTCTATCGTTCTACGAAATCGTGATTCTCAAAGGCTATCGCCTTTGGTAAATCGCGGGAGAAAGGAGCGCGGAAAAGGTGGCGGATAAAACACGTTATCGGGTACAAAAACGATTACACCTCTTGACGCGCGAGTTTCGTGCAGGAAAGAGAGGAAGCGCAAAAGGGCGCTCGATGAAGAGAAAATGTCCTTTTCTATCGCTTTTTGATAATCTCCCGGGAATGTCGTCCTTATGATAAAAAGAAGTCTCTCCGATAATGGAACAAGACGGAGAAAAAGACTATACTGATAAAAAAAAACTTTATATACATTTTCATTATTCGCAACATTATTGTGTTTTACAAGTGTGATGTCGGATGTAGTTTAAATTATTATGAAAAAACTCAACAGATATTTTTCATTCATACATTTTAAGTAATCTTTGTTGTTACATCTGACATAATTTCTTTTTACTTATTTTATTTTTATACTTTTGTATGTTACAGTTTTTACAAATACTTGAATAATTTATTACAATATTTGGCTGAGTTTTGTTTATTTTATATTTATATATTAATTTTATTTTGGTATTATTATGTTCCAATGTAATACTAGTTTGTACATTTTGTAAAAGGTCATGAAAAGGTAAATTAATTCCCTTTTTCTTTCTCTTGTTCTCTCATGTTGCATATATTCGCACAAAAAGATTATTGATGGGTTGTATAGAGTATAAATTATAATAGATTTCTTTAAAATTCTAAAATACAAGAGAATATTTAAAAAATAATTTTTTTATTTTGCACTTTATAATACAGTATATAACTTTATCAATATACTATGAAGCTTCTTTCTTTCTTCTCCCTCTCATCAACAACAGATTATATTATTTGTTAAATTCACATAGTGATGTTACGCGAAATATATGGCACAATGTAGTTTCTAGAAAACAAAATATGCTACAAATATATTGCTCATTATTTTTTTATCTGATTTTATATCGTATGTAGGATGCAATTGTTTTATACAATTTATAATATACTGTGTACTTATAATGAGAAAAATATTTATCAAATGTTTACAGATAGTGAAATATATTACGATATATTATATTATAATAAAATAAAATATATATTTATAGTAAAGATACATAATTTAATTCTAAATATAATATATTTGCTTAATGCTTGGCATTTTCAAGTTAATCCCAGAAGAAGAGGAAGGGAAAAATATTTTGTACATTATTTATTTTGAAGTAAATCAATATGTAATAACCCTTTGTACACAAAATATATCCTATTAAAAAAATTATTACAATCCATTATCTCTCTCACTCTCTTTAATTATGCATTTACATCGTTCTTCCATTATAACTGTCCTGTGCATTATTACATGAAAATCAGATAGGCAGGGACTTTCCACTACGACAATATAATTATTTAGCAAGCATGAATTACGTTTCAACGAACAATTATTGATGACAGTGATATAAATTTAAAACTGCACGATCCGATTGCGGCAATTACGTAACGTTACTGAACGTGGTGAACGATAAATAATAATTTATTATACATCTTCTGTAATTTTTGATATTTTCTTGAAGTTTATAGATTATTTTTAATATAACTGATTAAAATTTCATGATCTATAAAATATTTGTATAAAATAAAAACGTTTAAACAATTTTTTAATATTTCTAAATTTTTTTTATAAATATAATTATATCAAAAGTTAATTAATCTTCTTCTTGGTTGTTGCTGTTATTTTTGTAAGATTAAATATGATTTTTAACAATTTATAAATAACTATTAATGTACAAATTAACGTTACAAATATGATAATTGATAAAATTGCTATAACGTCCATTTCGTGTTTTTGGTACCAAGGATCGTGAGCAATACTGGTACGAAGATGAGAAGCACCCTTATGACGAATGACGAATTCAATCCACCAAATTACATGTTCCAAAGAATCGTAAGGCTTATCTTCATTAAGTTCTTTAACTTTGAGCATTCTTTTTTTATATCTAGAAAATAATAATAATGTATGTTATATAAAAAGATTTATATTATATTATATATATTTTTATATATTATTTTGTATTTAAAAATTAATATATATTATATGAAAGAAAATGTATACTATTTTACAATTGCATTTTGATTATAATTATATAAATAATAAATTTTGTATAATATATGAAATAATGTTGAATAACAATTAGATAGCTTATTAAACATTATTTAATATAAAAATAATTAATGGCGAGACATAAGAGATTGCTATGAAAAAATTAGTACCTTTCGTCATATAAAATATCAATTATAGATGCATTCAGATTTTCTCTCGATAGTTTCAAAATATTTAAATGTTTTGCAACTCCTAAAGATACCATTTTCTTAACTTGAGTGTACTGATCAGCTAGAACTGGTATCTTGATATATAAATAATTTAATGTTTGGATGAGCTGTAAAAAAGTAAAATTTACTAATGAAAAAATATGTAAACATATAGTTTTATTAGTCTGAATGAATTATGACACTACATAGATTTACCAAGAATGCTTTGTTGAGGAAACCATTTAGCAATATAGATATTGTCTGGTTTATTTGGTAATTCGTTGTCGTGTTTCCATAGAATTTTGTATGGCAAGTTTGTAAATACATCTCGAAATATGCTTTGCACATGCTCCGATAATGATGAGATTCGGACATTTGTGCCTAAACTCATATAGATAAATCCATTCGGTGCATCTGTTATAAATTCTTTTAAATTCTAAAATATAATAATCATCTTATTTGTACGTTGTATTCGAAAAGAAAAAAAAAATATATATATATATATGTATATATAGAAGCGGAAATCGAATTTTAATTATGAAGCAAATAAAAAATGTTATTTGTTAAACAATAAATATATGGTTTCAATAATATATGGTTTAAATGCAATGATTACTTCTGGTAAAGCCGCGAGTTTTTTTAAAATATGAAAATTTCCAAATGGCAAAACATTTGATGTTTGCGGTCTAACAAATGAAAGAATTTCTTGTTGATTTTGGAAAACAAAACTTATGTTTCTTTCCATATCACTTATATGTGGTATATTTTTTCCAAGATATTTTTCTGCTATGGTTTGCTGCTCAGAGTAAAAATAATTTAATGTACAATATATGTGATACCATAAACGAATAAAATTCTCAATTCTTTGCCACAATGACAGATTAAAATCAGTAGTATCTTCCATTTCCCAAGTCGAAGGATGTGATGGCAGAACAGGTGCACCGAGTAGGTAATAGTTACCACTACACAATCCAAGTGTTGATATACCTGTAAATAAATATTATAGATATATAATGCATAATACAATAAATTTTCAACGTCATGAGCAATTTGCAACAAGTTTTAACCATCATTCGTTATTCGTTAAAAAATTACTAACAAAAAAATTAATTTGAAAAAAAATAACATTTTATTTCTGTCATATATAATATTAAAAACTATCTTGTACCCTTCCTTGCTTACATAATGACTTTCCACGCAAAGCAACTTCCACCAGTTCCACCTTCCTCCCCCCTGCTTGAGGGCGCACAATTTCCACACGAAGCGACTCCTACCCCATCTCTCCCACTGCTTGGGGGCATACAACTTTCACACGAAACGTGGAGGTAAAATGGGAGTCGCTTCGCGTGGAAATCGTGCATTCTCAAGTAATGGGGGAGGTGGGATGGGAGTCGCTTCGCGTGGAAGTTGTGCGTCTCCAAGCAGAAATAAAAAGTTATTTTTCCAAACTTTTTTTAATGACTTTTTAACGAATAACGAGCGACGGTCAAAACTTTTTGGTGGTTGCTCAGGATCATGAACTTGACAACATATGTCAAGCTCAAGATCGGATGTGCTCCCCTTTTCTGCAGTTTTATCTAAAAATTAATTAAAATGAAATAACATGAAATAAAATGAAATAATATATCATATGTATCATGCGTGAAACGGAATGCACTCTAAATTTTAATTATTTATAGTCCCATATTTATAGTCTCTATGAATTATTTTATTGGCTACTGAGCATCTAAAGATTTTTAAGAAGCTTTAAATATAAGATCTGACTATGAATACGGACATATTATCGCTTTATACAGGTAGAATTTCTATTTCGAGAAGACATAACATGTATGCAATCTCTATTAAACATTCTTCACTCTATCATAATAGATCATTTTTTATTGAAATTACAAAAAAAATTTTCTTTTATAATTGCAAACTAATTTTTTTATTGTTATTTACAGAATGTGGGTAATTAAATAAGTAATAATTATGTTACAAGAAATATTATATTTTAACAAAATTGTACCTGCGAATAATTCTCTTTTTTTTTTGCTACAATTACCATAACAATTATTATTAATTTTTTCTCAATACGTTTATATAAATATGAAGATAAAAAACATCAAAAATTTGAAAGTTGAAGTAATTTCTACTCTCTTTGATATTTTCACTTAAATAAAATAAATTTTAAATAAAATATTTATAAGAATTTTATATATAATACATTATTATTCTTACCTATAAGAGGTGCATTAAATCTATATGCTAAAGCATATAAGCCAGGTGATTTTATGGTTTCTACAATTACTACATCGAATTTCGTATCACTATCCTGTTCATACATCTTACGTACTTCCGGATGCTTATAAATGTTTTCTGTTATTTCATTAGATAGAGGCCATAATTGTTCGCTTACTGTACTTAGCCACGTATGGGTCCTCATATTTTTTATGAAATTTAGTTTTGAAATCAAATTGTAATGGGATTTGAAGTTGATTTCTGTCAAATTAGTCAAACTGGAATCATTTATCGGGTCAGTTGTTAGGACGACGACTTCGTGTCCTCTCCGGCTCAAAGTAGTCCATAATGGTCGAAAAGGAATATGGTGACTGTAAGATGGTATTGCAATAATTGCCAAGATCCTTGCAGTTTCTATTGGAGTAGCAATGTATACAAAACATGCTATCCAAAATGTCATTTCAGCAACCAGCTTCATTTTACTGTCGATAATAAGTAAAACTTACAATTAGTACAAACTTAATTTTTATTACTGACAATTTAATAAAATATTTTCTTTTATTTATATGATCGTCCTTGTCTGTTTAAAGTTTTTTTGTCTGTTTAAAGTTTAAGACCAGTGTTTAGAATGCGCTTTTATTGATAAATGCATGCATTTAGTACATAATTTACGAATACATTATTTATATGCATAATTATATGCATATTTATATGCATAAATTTATATGCATAATAAATAATAATCTGTACAATATGAAATAATTCATTATGTCCAGGTACTGAGTAATGTTACGTCTTCAAAAATACTTATTGAATCTATAACAAATATATAAATTAATTTTTCCCTCAAATTAGCAAAATAATTAATAATTCAAATTCATTTGTTTCTCATCAAATGCGTCGCAATTGACACATATATGACAGATATATTTGCATAACTGCGCATACGCAAATAAATCTGAATTATACAAGTATACTTATGACATCGAATGATCAAAATAAAGTTTCGAGTTTAACATGTGCTACTTAAAACACATAATGATATAGCATTTTATTTCTTAAGAAGTGTGCATTTGCATGTAGTATGCATATTCAAAGTCCAAATATAATGGCAATGCTGATATATAGCTGATATATAGTTATCTATATAACTTGTATTTAAGACTCATTACTTCTGTGAAGCTAGCATCTCATTTTTTTTTAAATTAACTTTTTGTGACAGGACTGAATATACATATGTTACATTCTTTAGAATTTTAGAATTAAGGATGTACGATCGATCATTTGCGGAGTAGGGTGGTGAGGAGAGTGCGTTATTGTTCCACATTAGTAATACCAACTTAATATATAAAAATCTTTTAATAATAAGAAAAACTAATTCATGATTTATTAAAATTAAAAGATTACATTGATTGTTCATTTTTAGCCACGATAGTCTAAAAACTTAGGACGATCGTACGGAATGCAAGAGATCCGGGTTCGACTTCCGGCCGAGGTAATATTTTTCGCAATAAGAATTAATTATTTATGCAACGTTGCATTCTGAAAATAAAGTTGGCATTCCTACTTGAGTTGCCCAGTAATTGACAGTTAATTGAGATTAAAATATTATTTTCATATACGTGTTTTACAATTAATAATATAACAATAGGTTAGAAGCAAGCACTTATATATTTAATCATCACACATGCGTTACATCATCACAGGATGAAGCAAGTAACCTAATGTTGGAAGTCAGCAGCGTTGCCAAGCGTTTTCTGCGTATATTTCTTTAATTACTCAAATAGACATGCTTTCATTAGCTTTTTGCTTATATATAAATAAATTACGGTGAATAGAATTAAAATTCTTGCAAAAGAATGCAAAGAAAGGTTTATTCTATGTATATGTTTTTTATGTAGATCGAAGATAAGTAATTATGTATTTAATATATCAGTCATTCAATGCATCTATCATAAGACACCATGCATAAAACTCTAACTTTAGCTCTTTTTTTCACGATCAATCAGTTTGAAATTTTAATATAGTATTAGTTTCATTTTAAATAATATTCTGTGTAATTTTTGGATAGATCGAAGCATTTTAATTTTTCATTTCATACCTTCTTAATAAAATTAAAAGAGTCATTGATAAATTTATGAGGTTAACTTTATATAATACGAATTAATATTTTTAAAAATATTGCTATTTATTACGTTATTTTGTAAAGTTAACACTCCAAAAATTTATCAATTGCTTTTTTTTATTTAGAGTTTAGACTGTGTTTTAGGAACGTGCTTTTAACGCTAATACATCATTCTAATTCGTATTTAAAATGCACTTTAAGGATGTAAACGTGCATTTACCTACACATGTGTATGTACTTCGTTAAGAAATTAAGAAATTATCTATTCTGTCTTCCAAAGACAGTAGATAATTTTTAAGAGAGTTTAATTTTGTGAAAAATTACAATATTATAATGAGATATTCTAGAATATATTTTAATATTTGATATGACTTATTTTTTATGAAGTTACATAGATAAAAATGCTGATTTGTTCAAATTTAAAAACTTTTACAAAGTTCTTTAGCATGAATTAAAAATCGTACACAAAAGTATTTCACAGTTTTTAAAAGAATGTATGTTTACTTTTATTTACGTATTTATTGAGTGTTATACGATTCTTTTTTCACCTTGTTGTTCAACATCTTATATAAATATATAGGATGTATAAAAAAAGTATACAAGGGATTTAATTGTTGCTCGTTTTTCAAGCCGTGCTTTAGCATTTATTAAATGCAAAACAAGAACAGAATTGTCTGATAGCATTGAAAGTGCACTTCTGGAACGCAGTCTTTATTTGCTAACCATTTTTAATTTTACTAATGAATTTTAGAACTCTTAAAATGATAGCACACAAAAAACTTAAATAGTAAGACGTAAGTAATAATAAGAGAATCAATTTGGATTTGCTAGATTATTCTCTAGATTTCTTGGAGTAAAAGCTCACTCTAAGATTCACTCTGGGTGAAAATACTATTTTTGGAGAAGAGTGAAAATATTTCTTGAAAAAGAGTAATAAGTAAAAATTGTTTGTTGTTTTTACTCTTTTTCAAAAAATAAAATATTTTCACTCTTCTCCAAAAATCATACGATGGAACATCCTTATATTACGCGTACATATTCGACCGTGACAAACTGTGAAAATTCGCAGATTAGATGAACCAAAACTGTGGAGATTCATTTCTTTCATTCTTCGTCGTCTTTATTTTTCAAAGTGTTTATTTCTCTATCTGAACACATGGACCAAGTCTTGTTTTTCTTTCCATTGTAAGAAAGTGAAATCTGATTTCTTTGCGATAATACGGAACAATAATTTGTAGGAGAGTTTACTAGTGCAATTCCAACAAAAATATATTAATTAAGGATAATTATAACTAAAAAAAAAATCAAGTCTTTAATAAAATTGTAAAATAGTAATAATAGTTTGTATGAAATCAATTACAAACAATAAGAACAATAAAAATTGTATTAGACCGTACATGTGAAAATAAAAAATTGTTTATATCATGTTAATCAAACTTATGCCCCATCTCTTTGATGCGACAGACAGAACTTTAAAATTATTGATATGATGTGTATTTAATATGATATATGTATATCTAACAAAGAGAAAAAGGCAGAAATGCCAGAATGTCAAAATATATCTTGTAAGAAAATTACAAAATAAAAAATTACAAAATAAATTACAAAATTAATGTTTTTTACTTACAGTTTTTATTTGATTAAAGAATCAATTTGATAAAACATCAAAATTAGTAGTTTCAAGATAAACTTATTTACAAAAAAGTACGCTCCTTATAATAAATTCGTTGACCAGTACCGAGATAATAACAAATCAATACTGTTCTTAAATATAATTTTTTAAATTATCGTTGCTTTCAAATTCTCCGTAGACTCTATTTTAATTTCGAATCAATCTTATCGTACTCCCCTCTTCTAAAACGTTTAAAAATATATGAGCTACACGTCACACGTCAATAATATTAGAATATTTATCGTATCTGATGCATTAGAACGAGAATGTTATTAACTAATTTATAAAAATAATAAGGCTCAATAAATTAAAATAAGTAAAAAGGGAAAAGGACTACGAGCCTAAAAATAATCAACATAAGATGACAAACTGTATAGATAGTTAAAAAATAAAATAAAAACATGTCATGAAATTAAAAACGTAAATTATAATTTGACAATCAGAAGGTGAACAAAACAAACGCTTCGATCCTTGTTGGATCATTTTCAATGTGACAAATAAATTAATAATAGAGTTGTAACGTAGATAAAACATAAGAAATTAAATAAAATTCGCATTCGGACGCAATAATTAACTATAAAACTCGCTCCAAATTGAGAGGAAATCAAACAAACGATTATAGTTGACATAAATGTGCTCCTCCGAACCGTGTATGTATATAAGGATGAACATGTTTCTGTTAGCAAGTATAAATTATAATAATAAATTAATAACGGAAATAAATAAAAATAATAAGAAAGTACAAATCGAGTCGCAAACAATAAAAAGGAAGGTACAAAACAAGTCGCAAGTAATAAAATTAAAAGAAAGTTAAAATTAAAAGAAAGAGGCAAAAATTATCTTTGATGTTATAAGACAAGCACATAAGAAATAATGACGATAGAAAAAGAATAAAATGCCATTTATTGTATTAGGTGTTGGAATTAATTCGTAGCGTTTTACAAGTGATGGGAAGTACTTTCATTAATGTATTTTTTAATGCTCATGTGAAATAAATAACATTCTTTCATTAAAAAACGCTACGAATTAATTCCAACACCTAATATATGTATAATGAGTGTAGAACAAATAAATTTATAATAAATACCTTATGTGTGTCAAAATGATGTGTTATCGATTAGGCAATGCGATGGGAATTGAAATTGATCATCTCTCTAGGAAGCTAAGAGATAAAATACGACATATAAAGACAGGAAGGTTGAAATGGAAAATTAAAAAAGAAGGGGAACATAAGAAGGAGAGAATAAAGTAGAAGGGAGAGAAAGTAGGGAGAGAAGAAATGGATAGGAAAGGGAAAGTAGTTAAGAAGGAGAAAAAAATTGGATGATCTGTGAGTAAGTATTAGGTAAAGATTTGGTATCATTTTGCCTATTAAGACCTTGTTTCTGTCTTTTAATACGAATCATTTCAGACACCAATCTCTTATTGTAAGAAGATTCGCAGTCCAAAATTCTCACATCATTCCATTTGAAATTATGATCAAAATTGATTCGATGATCATGTCATTATGACAGTAGGAGAACCTGTATTCTTTTTAATGTCAGAGATATGTTCGTGTAATCTCGTGCTCAATTTTCTTTTTGTCTGACCAACATAACTCGCCTCACAATCATCACATGAGATCTTGTAGACAACATTCTGATTGGATAGGAAATCAAGCTTGTCTTTTCTTCTCTTTATGAAGCTTTTTAATGTGTTGGGAATAGAAAAGGCTAATTTACAATGAAACATACTAGAGATGGGAAGGAAACTTTCAGAAATAGATTTAACATAAGAAATCGTAAAATATTTGTCTTTATTACGTGAATAATGTGTAGTATCTTTGTTATACTGTTTGTGAAACTTTAATCTGCGTTCAATTGTAGAGAAAATAAAGGAAAGAGGATAACAGTTATTTAAGAAAGTATGAATAGCATCTATCAAATTTTTTTGTTGGAACTGTGGATGTGATAATAGGATAATTTTGTCAATGAAACTGATGATGGTACCTTTTTTATGGCACAGAGGATGATTTGAATGGAAATCTTTTGGAAAACGTCTTTTTATGATAAATGTCACATATAATTTTCTGATTATCTATAACAAGCATCGTATCAAGAAAACTTAATCTGCCACTTGTACCAACCTCCAAGGTAAACTGCAATTTCGTATGTAAAGAGTTAAAAATGTTCAAAGTGTCATCGACAGTATCAGATGGAAGCGCGAGCAGAATATCGTCTACATATCTAAAATAGAACAGAGGTTGTGCTAACAATTTTCTTCTAGATCTTGCATTACAATGTCGGCGATTATCGGAGATAACTGTGAACCCATCGGAGTGCAAAATAACTGTCTGTAAGTTCTATTGTTACAGGTAAAAAAGGTAGAATTTAAATGAATCTAACAGCAATAAATTCATTTTTTGATATGTTTGTCTTCGTCGAGATGTAAACCCATTTTCTGTCGATGCTATTTAATGCTAGCTCAACAGGAATATTAGTAAAAAGGGATATTACTATCATTAACTAATATTTTTTAAAATATGATATTTTGAATTGCCATCACATATCGAATATGTATTGTATCGAATCGAGATTATATGATGGACATGAAGCAAAAATAGAATCCGATAAAGATAAAGTAAAAAAGAAATAAAGAGTACTCGAATTATAACTATATATAATATAATAACAAATTTGCATGTATGTAATGAGAGATATCTCGACAGTGCTATTATATTGAATATATACGAAAGTGTTGGATATACACATATAATACCGCAATTTTTTTTAATTAAACAATAATCGATGAGCGACGAGAGAAAAAAAAACGGATGGCGCATCCTTGTTTGAGGGAAGCTACTAATGCCTCTCGTAAGCGCTCGAAGTAATGAGTAGTTAGTCGCTAAAAGCTGCTCATAACTTTCTCAACTATTTTCGCCTCATTTTTTACAGAAATGTGATCCCTAATTCTCCAGCTAATTTCACTTCTCTCTTGTGAAAAGAGTCACAAATTCTACAGATTCTGCAGCTGAGGCCAAGATACAAAGGATCATTTTGTCGGATTCTTTTGCTATTCATCAGAATCGTGGAGCAGGAAAAATCAAATCAGGAAATCAGATTGGAGAATTAATTATAAACGCTTCTGTATATACTCTATGCACATGTGCGTAAGTAATTATCGTGATACATATGAAAAGATGTTTTAAATAAAATTTGTATAGCTTTCTATATACTTTATGATTGTATACAGGGTAGGGCACGTCTCCTTTGCGAGAGCTTGACAAAACGTAATGGCTGGTCGTGACGAACTGCGTACGCATCCGTAATATGGCTGGCAAGGGGACCGAAATTAAATACGCCGAAATAAATCATCTGGCCGAAATTAAATACGCCCATGGTCACCATCCCTTCGATCGTTCGATCGAGTGGATGCCGAGTGGCGGATAATACGAACGTCGATAGCGCCGATCTCAATCTCAAACACAAGAAGTCCTGGAAGTGATGTTCGTTTATATCAGCCAACCACTTGCAAACGATACATTGATAATGTATAGAAACGGCATATCTACACTTATTTGATCACATTTTAATGCGTTTATTTATTATATGATCTGAAGAGGGCTCAAAGTTAGAGCCGAAACATGTTATAAATTATTATATTTTTATATTTAGATTATTTATGTTATTTAATTAACTGCATGTATAATTTCTTTGTGCACCGATACCCGCGCCTGACTTCTAATTATTGTCGTGATTGTAATTTAATTTTGAAGAAATAAAATGCTAAACCAGAAATAGTCTTCGTTAGATTTAAAGTTATAACATACATACATACACACATATATATATATATATATATATATATATGTATACAAAATTTTTAAAAACAACTTTGCTTATGTCAATAAATGCTATGATATTGAATTCTATTCATTATCATTCATTCGTTATGACAATTAATAAAAAGAATATTTTCTATCGCTACGTGACTGCGAGTTATAATCAATCCGTATTTGGGTGAAAAGTGAAATTCACTTGAAATCGATGATATACATTCGATGGACCGTGACAGATTGTAAAAACTCTCTGAATAGATGAACCGAAACTGTGGAGGTTCAGTTCTTTCATTCTTCGTCATTTTCAATTTTCAACGTGCCTATTTCTCTATCTGATCACACCAAGTTCTGTTTTTCTTTCAATCACAAGAAAGTGAAATCTGACTGTTTCTTGTTGCTATAACATGGAACAATAGTTTGTAATAAAGTTTATTATCGCAATTCCAGCAAAAGCATGTTAATTAAAGATAATTATAATTGAAAAAATTCAAGTCTTTAATAAAATTGTAAAAGTTATAGTAGTTCATATGAAATTAATTACATCACGTTAACCAAATTCGTTATGTATTTTTTCGATAGATAGACTTTAAAATTATTATTATGATATATATTTGATATGCTATATATCTTACAAAGAGAAAGAGATAAAATGAAAGTGTACAATATCTTGAATAAGAAAGTTACGAAAATAAATGTTCTTGGAGTTTTTATTTGGTTAAAAAATCGATTTGATAAAACATTAAAATTAGTAACTCTAAGATAAAAACTTATTTTATAAAGGTACGCTCCTTGTATTCATCAATAATAACAAGTTTACACTGTTCTTGAATACAATTCTTAAAATTATCGTCACTTTCATATTTCTACGTAGATCAACAACTTCAAATCTTATATCTATTGTACTTTCCTCTTCTAAAACCCTCTTTTAAAAATATATGATCTACACATCACTTATCAAGAATATTTTATCATATTCAGGTGTTGGAACGAGAATGTTATTAATTAATATTTTTTGACATTGCCGGATATGTATCGTATCGTATCGAGAATGGGCATAAAACAGGAATAGAGATCGATAAAGACAAAGCTAAATAGAAATAAAGTTATACAAATTATTACTATAGCATAATAAAAAATCTGCACGTTTGATGATCGAGAGATGTATTGATAGTATTGTTACGTTGAATACATACGAAAATGTTTAATATAATGCCGCAAATTTTTTAAATTAGAGAATATATATTTACGGATCACCAGAAACAGAGAAAGAAAGAGAAAGAGACAGGGCCACGTCTCAAGACTGAGCAGCTGCTGCCCATGCTTCTCATGGGCGGTTAAAGTGATGACGTAGTCGGTCCAAAAGCTGTTGATAGCTTGCTCGACTATTTTCGCGTCATTCCCTATGAAAATGTGAGCCTGGATTCTCCGGCCAATTTCATCCCTCGTTGTGAAAGGGGTCTCAAATACTCCAGATTCTGCAGCTGATGATAAGATCCAAAAGATCACCTTGTCGGACCGGACTTTCTTGCTATTCGTCAGAGTTGTGTAGTAAGGAAGGAAAACAGATCGGTATTTTTAGATTGTTTATGTCTCTTCGCTTTGCAGGATCAGCTCCGGTTGCTTCAGGGGAGGCGGGACTTGTCAAAAATTTAAAACATTTCAAATATTTCTGCACTCTAATCGCCTCGTACTATTCCTTCCCTCCTTTTCATCGCGTCCTCATCTCTCTTAAATCCGTTACAGGTTTTGCTGGATGGACATGTATCTTATGCACAATCTATCTCTCATTCTATCTTACTTTCTAAATTTTTTGTGGTAGAATCTCAACATAAAAAGTAAAAATTGAGCCAGTCTTGAAAATGAGTGGCTCAGTTTTCAATTTTTAAGCGTGAGATTTTATTCTTCAGAGTGAGATTTGTGGACAAGTCTAAGCAGAATCGTAAGACTAACGTGTTCTCGTAAGAACACGTAAACTTGTAAGAATTTCTTATACAGTACAGAAGACTGAAGCAATATTGCAGATTGCAATGTAACATTGCAGAGATATTGCACAAAAATATAAATTAACAATATGCCTGTAAAATGTCAGTAATATATCTGTAATATTCCAGAAACATTGCAAAACTGTAATGCTTTAATTGTTACAATAACAATAATATAAAAATATAATTTTTTACAGTATTTATATAGTACAGTCTTTTAGTTTAACAGCCGTTTTAATAATTAATATAATCAATATATTAGGTGTTGGAATTAATTCATAGCGTTTTACAAGTGATGGGAAGTACTTTCATTAATGTATTTTTTAATGCTCATGTGAAATAAATAACATTCTTTCATTAAAAAACGCTACGAATTAATTCCAACACCTAATAATATATTATAGGACCGTATATAAGTGATAACACAAACTATAGAAATCAAAGCCTTAAATAGTCTAGCTGGATCTTAAATGCTTGTATGATTCTTATGTGAATTTATATACTACGTATGTAGTCCCCAGAAACGGACGCCGAAATGATTTTTCGGTCTTGAAAACGCTAATTCTACTAAACTACCGCAGTGATATCACGAGTTAAATTGACAATTTAATAAATTTTTTATGCTTATTCGCATTTTCGAAACGATCTTAATAATGTTGAATAACATATTAAAATCTGTAAATAATTAATTCTTATTGCGAAAAATATTACCTCGGCCAGGAGTCGAACCTGGATCTCTTGCATTTCGTGAATAATTAATATAATCCATTTTTATAATTAAATAAAAAATTTATTAATCTATAATTTGACGGTCATTTTATTAGCTAAATTTTAAATTTATTTTAAAGATAAAATCAAAAGATTGTATAGTATCGAGTTTGAATCATTATTGACAATCAACGCATCATTATTGAATAAGACGATAAGCAATTAAGCTGCTGAAAATAATTTATCGAAATATTAATTATGAACGCAGGAATAAACCAGCGCCCGAACTTTATTAATTCATATCGTCATTTTTTAATCGATTTCAATTGACTCGGAGTGGCTTAGAAAAGACTCACTACGATTAACTTAATCCATGATTAACTTATCAAGTAACTGTATTATTATGTTAATGTGGATAACATTTGTAGTTTGTTTGGAGTATACACATACATGTTTTACACACATCCTTGCAAATAAATATCCTTATATTGTATAATATTGTATATACTTCAGAATTAATGCATTTATTGGAATATTTTATGGTTTTATTAATTTATTTTATGGTTTTATCAATTTATTTTATGGATTGTAAATATTACTTGTAAACTATTAAATATTTACTACAACAGTGATCATTATTTTAATTTGATAAATTATATTTTATTTTAATAAGCAAATTATTAATATAAAATTAGTAATGATTAAATTATATTCATCCTGGATGCATCTTTGACGCGCCATGTGAACATAGCACACAAAACTTACGTGATGAAAAGCGCTGATTGGTTGCTTCAATGATACATTCTCTATTCCGCAATCCTATTCCGCATCGTGTGATTTCACCCTTAATGGATCGGAAACTCATAAGATTATTTGAAACCGAAGAGAAAATCTATCATAGAGCAACGAATAGTTTCATTCGTAATGATGATGGATGCCTATATAAAAAATATATAGCACTCCGGAAGTTACAGAATTTTTGTAACTTTGTGACATTATGAAGGTTTCATAATTCTGACAACCCGACGATAAGTTCGATAATAACGATGGAAATGTTATGAAAGGTGATCTTTTCTGAGTTAGTGTCGTACATATAAGAGTCGTAATAATAAAATTCACATTAATCTTTCACGGAACAGTCAGGGAAGGGGAGAAAAAAGCGTGTGAAAGAGAGGGGGGAGTGAGAGGGAGAGAGGAAGAGGGAGGAGAGAGGGAGAGAGAGAGAGAGAGAGAGAGAGAGAGAGAGATGTCGAATGGCATGGTCGCTCGTCGTGCTTCAGCCCAGAATTGTGGAACTATTTATGACTCCAGTCCATTTGTCGAACGTCACGAGGGATTTCCGGAAATTGCTTTAAACGCGTAATGGCACGTCCGCTTTCGGAGTTTACCGATTGGGTCACCAGCTGTCATAATAAAAACGTTGATATTGTCTGCGATAGCACCACCGCTGTGCGTGACTGTTGCGAATTGACGAGAATGATCGGTAGACGCATCTGGCAGATAGACATTTCTTCGCAAACGATTTTCGACAATTACAAGAATCATACGCCTAAAGTAAATTCTGCTTCTTTGAATTGAGCTTTTTGCATCGATCTTATTTCACGGAAAATAAAACTCCAGTGCACATATTGTAAATTTTTATACTAATTCATATAATAAAACATACATTAGAATACAGTCATAATTATATTTTTAAATTCTTATCCAGATAATTGAATGAATAGTTAAAAGTACATACACAACATATATAAAATATGAAAGAAAAAGGAATAAAATTGAAGAATATGTACAATATATGTACTTATAGTCTGAATAAATAAATTAAAATTATGATAAATCTTGTTTTTAATATACAACGCAACATCATTTTTTTTCTCGTGTACGAGCACTCACTTCCGCATTTTAAAGCTAAAAGTTGATACTTTTATGTGGTATGAATAAAATTGAGAAAAAATTTGTTGCAGGTGTTGCAACATCATGAAAATCTTCAAAATAATTGTTTTTGACATTATTCTACTCAAAATTCCATTTTGAGGATCGAATTTCGATAACGAATTTGTGTTCGATAAACAAAAGGAGATTGAAAATCACGATTCATAACATA